AGGGCCTCAGGCATGCAAGGCAAGCGCTCTACCACTGAGCCAACTTCCCAGCCCCAGTAACAGGAATTTTTAAATGTTCTAACATAATTTAATCTGTAACTGAATGAGTAGTAAAGTGTGTAGAGACAGCAGCACCAGCTATATTTGAATGGTATAAAATATTTTTTCCATGTGCTGTTGGGAGGGGGAGATCAAAGGGAAGGAAGGCATATAATTGGAGAGAAAAAGGATGGGTGAATATAGGTATAATGTTTAATGTATTTATGAGAAAATGAAACCAGGTAACGAGAGAATGGGTAGAGTTGGGAGAAAGAAAGAATGATGGAAGGGGTAATATTAATCAAGATGTGTTAAACTCATAAATTGACATATTGAATTGAAACCCTTTTGTACAACTAAAGATAATTTTAAAAATTAAAAATAAAAAGATCTAATTAAACCTGAGACCTGAATGAATAACAAACCTGTGTGCTAATCTGTCATAGTCAAGCTTTAGGCAAGAAAATAATTACCCGAGGGGGAAAGGTGGAGAGGGTAGATGGAGGATAAAGAAAAAGTAATAGGAGTAATTAAATATAATTAAAGTACATTATATGTATGTGTAGAAATGGCGCAATAAAATCTCTTTGATCAACTAGTATATCGTAATAAAAATACTCAGGATAAAGCGCTGGTAGCTCATGCTTGTAATCCTAGCTACTCAGGAGGTTGAGATCTGAGAACCATGGGGACCGTCCCCAGATAAAAATAACAGAAAGAAGCCCAGTGCTGGTGGCTCACACCTAGATCTGTAGCTACTCAGGAGGCTGAAATGAGGACCACAGTTCAAAGCTAGCCAGGGCAGGAAAGTCTGTGAGACTCTCTATCTCCAATTATCCACCTGGAAACCAGACCAGGAGCTGTGGCTCAAAGTGGTAGAACACTATCCCTGAATTACCTGAGTATAATTAATTCAAAGAATATGCAATTATTTAGAAGTTCTGAAATTGCCAGGAATTGACAGAAATTACACAAACATGACAAAATGGCAAGATAAAATGAGACTATCCTATGGAATTTACATACCAGAAATAGCACTGTCCAGCCCAGCATATATGTCCAAGGAGCCTTCATCATTATTTTTCAGAGGAGAAGCTGCAAGAACAGTAAAGACTAGTTAAAACTAACTTTATGGAGGTTTTTCGATTCCTAAAGGACCAGGAAAATAGTTAATACTTACACTCCAAAAAAAGAGACAAAGTTTTCTACATACTTATAAGCTGTAAGATTTTGGCACAGAGACTTTTAATTTGACTACTTTAGCTTTAGATTGAATTACAAATACAGTAATAACCAATTTTTTTGTACCAGCCTAAACATCAAATAGCAACCATAAATTCTAAACTAATTATTAAAAGCTATCTGAAGGGCTAGAGCAATGCAAAGCAGGTACAAACTAAAGGGAAATCTGAGAAGCCCAGGGTTTAATTCCCTGAACTGCCAAAGGAAAAAAGAGAGAGAGAGAAAGAGGAGAGGGAAGATAATACTTGGAAGAAGATAGTACTATATGAGTTCTTCGTTAAAAGATAGCAATGACTACAAAAAATAATGCAAAAAGTTACAGTCAAAATGCTCACATAGAAATTAAAATAAAATTAAAAAGCATACTCAAAAGTAGAATGTATGCTAGGGCTGCCATTCTTTAAAAAATGAATAGGCTATGACATAGACTAGTGTCTTGTCAAGAAATACAAGATCCTGGGTTCAATTTCCAGCATCACCAAAAAAACTCTGAAAATAAATAAAGCAAAACACATACATGTAGACATGACTTGAGAGTAATACATAGCAATGAAAACACTGTGTCTAGGAAATGAGATTAATAATGAAGTACCCTTTAAAATTTAATAAAACGTGATAAAATTTTACTGTTTATGAATCTAGATTTAAAAAAAGAAAGATGTTCATTATATTTTCAAATTTTCTGCTGGCTTAAATTGTTTCAAGGAAAAAACACCATGGGGTGGAAAAATCACAGAACTACATAGAAGCATAGTAAAAGAAAAAAAAGGTATATCAGTCACCCACCCACGGTGGATATGATGAGCCATATCTACAAATTCCGTATCTACAAATATTCTTCCTCTTTCCCCACTTCGATACTAGGGCTTGAACTCAGGGCCTCATGTTCTCATTTGGCTTTTCTATTCAAGGCTGGCACTCTACCAGTTGAACCATATCTCTAATAATTTTTTAAACACATTTTAAATAAAATTTGAACTGTATTAAACCTGTTTTAAACCATTGCTTTCACTCAATAAAATAGTAATCATAATTCTAGCCAATAAATGTCTTTTAAAAAGTTTAATAACTGTAATTAAGATAAAATAACTAAATAATATGTGTTATATCAATACTTGGAAGATTTACCTTCTGTATATTATGTAAATATCTCTATGTACGGCTGGGGATATAGCCCAGTGACAAATTATTTTCCAATCATACGTAAGGCTTGGGATCAATCCCCAATACTGAACAAAGGAAAAAAATACATCTATTTCCTGCTAGGTGTTATGGCTCATGCCTGTAATCCTAGCTACTCAGAAGGCTGAGATCTGAGGATTACAGTGCTGAGATCTGAGGATTACAGTTGGATGCCAGCCTGGCAGAAATGTCTGTAAGACACCTATCTCCAATTAACCACCTGCAGAATGCTAGCCTTGAGCAAAAAGGCTCAGGGACAGTGACCAGCTCCTGAGTTTAAGCTGCAAGACAAAAACAAACAAACAAAAAAGACAAAACAAAAACAAAAACAACTATTTCCTGAGCTTGTTTTATTACGCGGTCTTGGTTTTTGTGGGTGGTTTCATTTGGTTTGGTCTCGTTTCTTAGATAGTGTCTCCTGTGTATCTCTGCCTCAAACTCATGATCATCACGTCTCACTTCCTGAGCGCTGGAATATATATACCCCTATACCTAGTTCTGGTTTCCTCCTTTTCAAACAAGTCACCCATTGTGACATTCATTTTTTCCCCCTAAGCAACAATCAACAAGCATAATTGCATTTACTAGAAACATGAACTTCAAGAGTAACAATTATCCATTTCTAAATATTTCAATAGATGTTATTACAATTACAGCTGGATGCTGGTGGCTCACATCTATAATTCCAGTTACTTAAGGGGCTAAGATCAAGAGGCTGGCAACTTGAGGTAAGCTGGGCAGAAAAGTTCATCCACAAAATAACCAGCAAAATGCAGGACTGGAGGTATGGCAAGTAGTAGAGCATCAGCCTAGCAACTATGAGGTCCTAAGTTCAAAACCCATTCCTATTGGTAAAATTACTTACCACATTAGAGACTTGAAAGCACGTAAGAGGAAAGTTAACCCAGCACAGTGGTGTGTGCTTGCAGTCCCAACTACTCAGGAGACTGAGCCTAGGAATTCCAGGCCTCGTAAGATTTACCACCACCACCACCACCACCACCACCAAGAGGGTAGGGATGTAGCTCTGCAGTACTGGGCTTGCCAGGCATATGTAAATTTCGTGTGGATATTCAGGCTCAGCAAAGTGAAACAAAAGAAAGTTTATATTTACTAAGTACTCCACGTTCCAGGCATTTTGCTGTATTAACTCATTTAAGTGTTGGGATAAAGTGTTAATAATAAACAGTTTCTCCTGAGAATAAGCAGAAAGTGAGACTTGAGCCTCACTTGTACAATGGTAGAGCACATGTCCAAGGCCCTAGGTTCAAATGTACTATGAGTTCAATTCTCAACAATAAAAAAGAAAGTGTGAATTTAGAAAGACAGTTGAAGAGTAGCTCTTACCGGAAAGGACGTCAAATAAATTGGCTCCATCACCATTGTCATCATCTGCTGCCATGATCTATTTCCTTTTGACAGATGCCATCTAAGATGTTAAATACAAGCATTTTTCACAGTTAGAATAAACCTAGCTTCAAGTCAAAAACAATTCTCAAATTTGAACACGATAATAACATTACTCAATTTCACTCTACACAGCACACTTGTGAAATTAAAAAAAAAAGCCTAATATTTTTGGGGGCAAAAGTCAAAAACAGTAAAATGAAAATCCTGCTGGGTGCCAGTGGCTCATGTGTGTAATCCCAGGTACTGGGTAAGGCTAAGAGTAGGAGGATCCTGATTGAAGGCAAACACAGGCAGAAAGTTTACAACATCTCATCTTAACCAATGGCTAGGTATCAAAAGGATCAAGTTCTAGAGCAGCCCACCCCAAAAATGTTTGTGAGACTCCAAGTCAACAGAAAAAAGCTGGGGATGGTAGTACATGCCTGTCATCTAATAAATAGGATCATGATCCAGCCCAGCCTGGAGACAAAAAACAATGTACTACCTCAAAAGATATTAACAGTGGCTCATGTTTATAATCCTAGGTTCAAAGCCAGCCTAGAAATAAAAGTTCCCTCCATCTCAACCAATGGCTGGGTACAGGAATGAGTACCTGTCATTCCCAACAATACAGGGAAGCACAAGTAGGTAGACTGCAGCCCAGGCTGGCCCAGGTATAAAACAAGACCTTACCTTGAATATTACCAATGCAAACGGTGGGCGGGGGGGGGGGGGGAGGAGGGCATGCTGGAGGCATGCCTCAAGTGGCAGAGTGCCTGTCATGCAAGTGAGAGGCCATGAGTTCAATCACCAGTACCACCACAGAAAAAAGAAAGAACAAAAGAGACTGGGTGAGGTAGCTCATGTCTATAAATTCCAGTTACTCAAGTGACAGACATCAGAGGGATAGTAGTTCCAGGTAAGCCAGGGCAAAAAACTAGCAGGATCCCATCTCAAAAATTAAGCTGGGTATACATTTGTGATCTCAACTACATGGAAGGCCATATGTAGAAGATTCTTAGTCTAAGCACAGCCCCAAACCAAAGTATAAGATTCTACCTGGGGAAAAAGAGAAAGCCTAAAGCAAAAAAGCCTGGATAAATGGCTCCAGTGATAGCATACCTGCCTAGTAAGCTTAAGTTCTGAGTCCAACCCCAGTACAATCAAAACAACCAAACATACAACAACAACAACACACAAAAAACACATATACAAAAATTAATTAATTAAATAAATAAAACAAAAAATAATCTGAGGACCTGGCTCAAGGAGTAGAGCAAGTGTCTAGTAAACACAAGGCTCAAGGGTACATCCCAGTACTACCAAAAAATTAAATTAAATTAAATTTAACAAAAAAAGGCCTGCCTCTGGTGGCTGATGCCTGTAATCCTAGCTACTCAGGAAGCTGAGATCTGAGGATCAAGGTTTGAAAGCCAGTTGAGGAAGGAAAGTCTGTGAGACTCTTACCACCAGTTAACCACCAAAACCCAGAAATAAAGCGTCACTCAAGTGGCCGAGTGCTGGCCTTGAGCATAATAGTTCAAAGACAGTGCCCAGCCCTGAGTTCAAGCCTCAGGAACAGCAAAATATATAAATAGCTTTTAAGAGTTACAAAATGTTTAATTTCAATAAAAAATAAAAGAACTACAAAGCAAAACAAAGCTCTTTAGTTATAGCACCTAATGAAAGCACTGGTTAAGCCAGTCTAAACACTTTTGTCTAGGAGGGAATGTAGACTTATCCAATCAATACCAACTGTTGTGGGCTGGTGGCTCACAGTATAATGCTAGCTACTCAGGAGGCTAATATGGAAGGATCAAAGTTTGAAGCCAGTCAGAAAGTCCAAAATCTTTGTCTTGTCTTTTTTTTTTTTTTTAATTCCATGAGACTCTCCAAAACTATCCAAAAATAGTCAGAAGTAAAACTCTGGCTCAAGTGCTAGAAAGCAGCTCAGGAAAAGTACCCAGGCTCTGAGTTCAAGTTCTAGGACTTGCTTGCACACACACACACACACACACACACACACGTGGCTAACCATACCTGAACTGTTGACACAAACAGTATGGTTTATGCTTTCCTTCTAGTTGTCTAAAAAATCGTTAAAGTGCTAGGCAACGAAAGCCTGTGTGACCAACTCTCCCCAAAAACCTAGGTATCAAGTCCCTAATGAGATTCCCTGATAGACAAATTTTCATACATATGGCCATAGACTAGCACATCAAGTTAACCCACACTTAAAACAGGTCATTACCAGCGCCCTATACACTCTTGTGCCCCTTTGTAGCCACTATTTGACCACGAATGTGGGCACAGATGTGGAGAATGAATGTATACACACTGTTGGCAGGACTTCGATATCAGCAGAGAAGGGAATATCTGGAAAGTTTGTAGGGATTCCAAAAGAGGGTACCTTTAGCAAAACTAGGAGAGCTTGATTAAGGTACATGGAGCAAGTAAATCCAACAGCTTGGATACAATGAACCTCAGATAGAACAGGACTGGAAAGTAAGACTGTCAAATTTTTTGGGCAGACACAAGACACTAAATGCCAGTTCAAAGAATGGGCTTAGATCTTTCAAAAAGATAAGAACACTAAAAGTTTTAAAAATTAGAAACATCAATATAAATAAATGAAAATAAAGAGAAAAAGAAAGATGAAATAAGAAGATTAATGTTTTGGATGAATTAGAAAGAAATACAAGAAGATATGAAAGAGAGAATGCAAAGACTGTTTACATGCAATGGAAGAATGGAAGAAGGAAATTAGGATAAATGCCTAGATATGGGAGGTAACAATTGCTCCTGGACTCACCATGGAGTTACATCTCCATAAATCATTGGGAGTTAAAATATCCTAAGTGGAAAAATACACTTACTACACCTAGCCTACTGAACATCCTAGCGTAGCCTGTAGAAGGAACATCTGTTGTCGCCTCATGATCAAACGGCTGACCAGGGTTGTGGCTTGCCTCTGCCATCCAGGAACAAGAGTCATGCTGGCACTTCACGATGAAAATTCTGTTTTCGCACTATTATAAAATCCAAAATTTATAAACTAGGAACCAGCTGTATAAACAATCATCTCTTTTATCTCAATTTTCTTAAAAGCTAGCTTCTGCTATCTTTGATACCTTTATCCCCACACCATTTTCTTTCCTTTTTGGTGCTAGGGATTGAACCAGGGGTACTACACATTTTAAGCACATTTCCCGCACGTCTACTTTCAAGTAGTCACATACTCTTAGTGATTTTATTTTTAAATCTCTCTCAAAATTAATGTTTCCTTTCCACTCAGCCATTATTCCCATTTCAGGGTATGATTATTATAAAAGTCTCCTGAGTTTTCATACTAATAAAATCTTTGTCTTATAATTTTCCTCATGAAAGCCTAAACTAATCTTGTTATATCTAGCCTGTGTTTCACTCAAGTTTAAAAACAAACAAAAACAAATCAAAGCTGGGTGCCAGTGGCTCAACCCTGTAATCCTAACTACTCAGGAGGCTAAGATCTGAAGGCTGCAGTTCAAAGCCAGCCCGGACAGTAAAGGACTTGAGACTCAGACCTCCAATTATCCACCAAGTGGAGCTTGGTGGTAGAACACTAACCTTGAACATAAAAAGCTCAGGGACAGCACCCAGGGTCTGAGTTCAAACCCCAGGCCCCAAATACACAAAAACAAAATAACATCAAAAACTAACCAAAACAACCAAGTATTCTTAGTATAGAACTTGGTCTTTCCAGAAATGTCTACCACTACTTTTGTAACCACTCCACACAGCAACTCTCATCAAACACACAATACAAGATTCTATTACCACAGCACATTATGAGCACAAATCAGCTAATGTATTCAGAAATAAGGAATGATGTCAATATAGTGCAGAAATTATATTTGTCCATCTAGTATTTTTCCCTGGATATTAATGTTTTGCAACACTGGGCTGAGGATGTAGCTCAGTGGTGGAGCACTCACATAGCAAGTGATTCTGGATTCCATCCCCAGGGCATGCAAATGCATGCATACACATATTAAAATATAAAGCAACAAAAGATGCCAAAGATAATACATTTCTGTAAGTACAACCCACTAAATCCAAAAAACCCACAATTTTTTCTTTATCTGTTCACCTGACAACTATACTTAGAGTAGCACTAACATTCCCCAATAGCAAATAACACTACCTCTGCAAACTCCCTCATTCTTACCATTTTAAGGCACTTTGGGTTCCCACATTGCTACCTAATTATATTCTACTCCAAATGCATGCTATACACAAGTAACAGATGAATTATTCTACAGTAATCACGCTCATAATCACTTCATGCACAAAACCTTTCCAATACTCTTCCATAAATTGTATTTCCATTATCTTTCAAAATTCTTTATCTTTTGGATTTACACTGGTAACATACCTTTCTCACCTCATTCATTATTCACTATTTTGAAGTTCCCCAAATCCCAAAGTCCAACTGAATTGGGCTCTAGTTTGCAAATATACTTTCCACAGTATCCCCAGATCTGTTCCTCTGTTTCTTGACCTATGAGTTCACAAGCAAGTCCAGGAATAAACAGCAACAGATTATTATGTGTGAAGGCCAGGTAAAATAGGAAGTTTTAGAAAGAAGATATACATGTGATTAAGGTAGTTGGACTTTGTCCTGTAGGGGTTGGGGGCAAAATGACTTTTTAAGAACGGAATATCATGTTAGGTATTCACTTCAGAAATTTAACTCCGGAAAAAATATGGAAAATCTTAATTCAAGGAGACACAAAAGGCCTCAGCTCTCAACCTCCTTAGTAGTTAGGATTACAGACTTGAGCCACTGGCGCTCTGCATCCATGTTGTTCTTTCTGCCATTTCACAGATGAGGAAACTGAAACAGCCTATTAAGAAATCTCCGCCAGGAACCGGTGGCTCACGCCTGTAATCCTAGATACTCAGGAGGCTGAGATCTAAGCGGTTCGAAGCCAGCCAGGGCAGCAGGAAAGTCCGTGAGACTCATCACCAATTAACCACAGAAAACCGGAAGTGGTGCTGCAGCTCAAGCGGTAGAGCACTAGCCTTGAGCCAAGGAGCTGAGGAACAGCGCCCAGGCCCAGAGTTCAGGCCCCATGACCGGAAAAAAAAAAAAAAAATCAGAAATTAGCCCAAGGCAAACTGCTGGTGAGTGAAGGAGGCTAGGATTAAACCTCAGGCCTGTTGTAAAATGACAGGGAATGCTAGGAAAAAAAAATATTTCGAGGTAGGTAGGGAGGCAGATGAGAGAAACTCTTTCAGGTCAACAATTTTTTGGATGGCTTCGGGTGAGGGAGAGGCTGGAGGGCTTTAAGAAGCCAAAAGGTTGTGGGTGCTGGATCTGAGGAGGGCAGGAAAGACCTAGGAAGGGGGCAGGAAAGTCAAAGTCAACCTGATCCTCAAGCACAAATCCCTACATTCTGTGTATTCCACATCACATCTTAGTTCTAGGTGCTGTAGAGACCAAGATAAACCACTTCTGCGGGCTGAACAGCTTCAGGATCAGCTAGCATCCGCTGCCACTCTGCCACCTCTCCGTGGATGTCCCCCCCAGGCGTTCAGGCATAGACCGAGGCAAAACCTGGGCTGGGGGGGAGGGGTGGGACGAATGGTTAAAAAAAGGGCAATTTCCCCATGCGTTCGCTCCCGGCCCCCACCAGACCCTCGCGAGGGGCCACCCTGAGACGGAAGGGCACGGAGGAGGACGGACCAAGGAGCAGCACCCAAGGGTGGAGGGAAAGGGGCTACCTGCGGCCCCCAGAGGTCAGGCGCGGCCCTTGCCCCACGGACTCGGCGGTTCCAGAAGATTTCCTCCGAGTCTGGCCTTGTGATCGCCGCCGACCTCCGCTCAGGACACTACTGCAGCATGCAGAGTCTTCACTCGGAGCCTCGCGCGACGTGGGTCCCCACAGGAACTTACCCGCCCTCTCCAGACCCGGACAGCCCGGGTTCCTTTCTGGTCACTGAGGTCTCTCTGGCATTTCCACCAATCGCAGGACGGAATCCGAGCGACTAGGCGGGACGGAGGGCCCGCGACCAATCATCTGAGACGCAAAGCACGTCCCGGCGCACACAACAAGTTCCCGCCTTTGGAAGGAGGAAAAAAACCCACACAGTTGGCGCCAAACTCTGTTCTCTTCTGTCTATCTTAAAGGAAAAGGGTGGGGCGTCGGGAGGTCGGGGCGGCGACGGGGCAGGACTTCACCACGGAAGGGGCGGGCCCTGGGGGGAAGTTCTTTAAAGAAAGGGAAACTGAGTTCTCCGAAGGCTTGGGCCCTGGAGGCCCGTAGTCCACGGGTTCTATCGGATGTTAGCTGCGTTCTCGACTAGTGCTGGACGCTGGCCCACCGGCCTTGTTCCCTGCCCCCGCGATGCTCTCCTGGATGGCAGGCAGACCTGCTCAGCGCAGGGTGTTGGGAACTTAGATTAGGCAAGGAAAGAGAGACTTTTGGTGAGATGGGAGACAGGAGAGTTTGTGAGAGATTTCCGTACCGAATTGCCCGGTAACACCTGCTAGTAGATCTAGCTTCCCGAGCTCCGCTCCTAACTTTGGTATTGACATGAATCGACACCCGGTGGCTACATATTTAGCAATCCCCTGACCTTCATCCCCACTTGCTTCTGCGTGTGTGCATTTTAGTCATCCTAATTTGCCTCCCCTCCACACACTTTTTTGGTGTGTATGAAAGGGGCTTGCTATGTAATTCAGGCTGACCTCGACCTTAAGATCCTCTTCCAACTGGGTGCAAGGGATCAGTCCTCTAATCCTAGCTATTCAAGAGTCTCGGAGGGGTGGGAATGTGGCTTAGTGTTACAGTGCTTGCCTGGTATGCGTGAAGCCCTAGGTTTAATTCCTCAGTGCCACCTGAACAGAAAAAGCCAGATATGGTGCTGTGGCTCAAGTGGTAGAGTGCTAGCTTTGAGCAAAAGAAACTCAGGGACAGTGACTAGGCCCTGAGTTTGAGCCCAGGACTGGAAAAAAAAATCCAGCTAAGAATTTTCCCTGAGTCTCAGAAGAGACTTTAGACTGGGATTTTTGAACATTAGGGCTGTTAAGACTTTGGGAACTCTTAGAGATGGGCTAAATGCATTTTGCATTATAAAATGGACATGATCTTTTGGAGGGCAGAGCTGGGACAAAATGTTATAGTTTAAGAAGTTGTGTTTGGGTATCAAATTGACAAGTAGAATGTAGTCATTTTTTAATTTTTAAAATTAAGTAGTTCTACAGAGGAGTTTTGACATGTCAGTTTATGAGTATAATACATCTTAATTGATGTCACTTTTGGTGGTTTTGTCTACTTGATCAAAATCAAGAATATTTTTGAAAAACAGCAAGGCACACCTCTGGTTATATTTGTGGAGGTATATCCAGAGGTATATCCAGAGATGATTAAACCATGAGGACTCTGACTTCATGAATGATTTAATGTATTGGTTTGAATCCATTATTGAGAAGTAAAGAACATGTTCTTATGGTCTGTATCTTCCCCAACGCTTTCCTGTTACTATTCTCTTTGCTTCTTAGCAAACTGTTGTGAAGTACTACTACAGACTACCTGCTTCCCTCCCCCCACCATCAGAGTCTACTTTGCTTTCTTGCTATGTATTACTTTTGGTGTAAGTTAATTACACCAAGGAATTTCTTCAAGATATTTCAGATGTGTATATTTTAATCGTGTATATATTTTAATATTTTTCCCATGGAAAACCCCTGTTGTTCATTTGATTAAACAAAAATAAAATAAGCTGCATCGGAACATTTTTGCATAGGAACATTTTTAAAGTCCAAAGAGACACCAACTTTGTTTTAAGGCTGTGGTAGCTGATACAGCAACTCCTTGCAACTCCTTGCTACCTTGTCCAGCCCTCTCCATGGACCACAGCAATACATTCAGAAGCCTGTTAGCAAACACAGGAGTTTAAACACTTATCCATTGGTTCTTCACCTGTTAATCACCTGCCATGTCTGTGGCCTGCAATACTAATAAATACGGGTTAAAAGTAAAAACAAAACAGAAAGGGTCAGGGACAGATGTGTGTAAATAACAGAAACCCACTTCTGCCCAAAAGTTTGAGAAAATCTTCCACCCATGTACAGAAATGTGAGGTTCACATTGCCACATCAATGTCTATTCACAATGGAATGGTATGCAATGGCATCCCAACTGGGCTTGTAGTGAGCTTCCTGCAGCCCAGGAAGTCAGAATAACATGTTATATTGCTTTTTCTTTCCCCATCCTACAACATCCATTGACCAACAGCTTTCATTGAGATTCCTTATGCTATCTTCATATATAGTTGGGATGTGTTTTGGAATTTGCCCTCCATCTTCCTTTTTTCCCTCTTCCCTCTTCTTCATCCCTCTAACAGTCCCACAGTTAGAATCATGTATATGTATATAGATATGTATAGGTGCTCATGAACATATATGAATATATATGCATTAGGGGTGTCACTAGCCTCCCTAAATGAGTGAAAACATGACATTTGGCTTTTTGAGCTTAGCTTATCTCACTCAAATTGATATTCTCTTATTTATTCCATTCATATTCTTGAAAATAACATGAGTTTTTTTTATGGATGTGTGCTGTTCTCTGACATTCATTTAAGGTATTGTCTTTATCTAGTCATCTATTGTTGAGCTTCTCATGGGATTTCAGTTTGGCTACTGTGAACTGTACTGCAGTACGCATGAGTGTGCAGGTATTTCTCTTGTGTATTGATTTTCACTCCTTCAGATATATGTCCAAGGTGGAATGATTGGGTCAAAAGGTAGGTCTATTTTTAATTTATTGAGGAATGATTGGAATATCTTTTTTCATCCTTTCACCCTAAGTTTATATTTGTCTTTGTCAGTGATATATATTTCTTGTAGGCAACAAATGGTTGGGTCCTAATTGCATGTGAGTGTGTGTGTGTGTGTGTGTGTGTGTGTGTGTGTACATGTGCACCAGTACTGAGGTTTGAACCCAAGGTCTAACAATCTTGTCCGACTTTATTTTTTTGTAAGGGTGATATGCAGAGGGGTTACAGTTACATAACTAATGTAATAAGTACATTTTTTCTGAACATTGTTACTCCCTCCCTCCTTTTCTCACACACATACCCTACTACCCCCCCCCAAGTTGTAAAGTTTATTTGCAACATAGTATCTTGTGAGTATCTCTGTTGCATTGGCTCACCCTTTGTCCTTTGTCTCACCATTTTGTTATTTCCCTTCCCTTCCCCAAATCAGATGAACATATATACAAGACATGGAGTACCAAAATCAAAAACAGTGACAACAGGGAGTAAACAAAAAGGAAAAATAAACAAACTGAAGGAAAAAGAAATAACTGCACACAGTGCATTAAAAACAACAGCACCAGCAACAACAACAACAAAAACTCTTGTTTCCATATCTTGGAGTTCATTTTGATTAGCATCATCTTATATGGTCATATGTACATAGCTATTGAGCAATTGTGATCTTCTGCTAGGACAATCCTAGACATATACTAATGATTACAAATGAGGGAGACAAGAGCCTATGTTTCTTTGGGTCTGGATTACATCACTTAATATGATTTTTTCCAAGTCTTTCCATTCCCTTATGAATGTAGCGATGCCATTCTTTCTTATGGAAGCATAGAATTTCATTGTGTATATATACCACATTTTTTTTTTATCTATTTATCTACTGAAGGGCATCTGGGTAGGTTCCATGTCTTAGCTATGGTGAACAATGTTGCAATGAACATAGGTGTGCTGGTAGCTTTAGTGTGACCTTGTTTGTGATCATTTGGGTAAATGTCAAGAAGTGGGATTGCAAGGTCATAGAGGAGCTCTATGTTTAGTCTTTTGAGGAACCTCCATACGGCTTTCCAGAGTGGTTGAACAAGTTTACATTCCCACCAATAGTGTTAGTAGTGTTCCCTTTTGGTCACATCCCCACCAGCATCTACTATTACTTGTTTTCTTGATAATGGCCATTCTCACTAGGGTAAGGTAGAATCTCAGTGTGGTTTTGATTTGCATTTCTTTTATAGCCAGAGATGTTGAACATTTCTTCATGTGTCTATTGGCTATTCTTATTTCCTCTCCAGCGGAGTATCTTTTTAATTATTTATCCCATTTATTAATGAGGTGGTGGTTTCTTTGAGGATTTGTTGTTGGAGGATTTTTTTGAGCTCTAGGTATGTTTTTGATATGAGGCTCTTGTCTGTTGTATAGCTATTGAAGATTATCTCCCAATTTGGGAGCTTTCTATTTATCTTGCTAGCTCTGTCCTTTGCCATGCAGAAGCACTGCAGTTTAATGTAATCAGATTTTATCCAGTCTTCCTTTGATTTGTTGTGTATCTGGTCTTTATTTAGGAAGTTTCAACCTGTGCCAAGGGGCCCTAACGTATTCCCTATTCCTTCCTGTAATATTTTCAGGGGACGGGGCTGGGTAGGTGGCTCAGTGGTAGAGCACATGCCTTGCATGCATGAAGCCCTGGGTTCAATTCCTCAGCACCACATAAGCAAAAGGAAAAAAGCCAGAAGTGGTGCTATGGCTCAAATGGTAGAGCTCTAGCCTTGAGCTGAAGAGCTGAGGGACAGCGCCCAGGCCCAGAATTCAGGCCCCACAACCAGACCAAAACAAATTTTTTTTTCCCCAGGGTATCTGCTCTTCCTTTGAGGTCTTTGATCCATTTGGATTTGATTCTGGTGCAGGGTAATATGTAAGGATGTAACTTCAGTTTTCTACATGTCTATAGCTATTTCTCCCAGCACCATTTGTTGAAGAGGCTGTCTTTCTTCCATCTGATGTTTTTGGCTCCCTTATCAAAAATTAGGTAGCCATAGGTCTGTGGGATCATTTCTGGGTCTTTAATTCTCTTCCATTGGTCCTCAAGCCTGTTCATGTACCAGTACTAACTGTTTTTATAACTGCAGCTTTGTAATAGAGTTTGATATTGAT